AATAATATTTATTTATAATTAATATAGTTAATAATTAATATTAATCAAGCTTATAATTGAAAAAACCGTCAAAAAGTTCCTAATAAGCTACTTCAAGTAGCTTATCAATAAGTTAACTTCTAAGCTAATTTATGTGCATTCAAATAGTTATTCAAAAAATAAGTTAACTTATAAACTAATATATGTTTGTCAAACAATGTCTAAACCACATAGACCAAGGGGGTGTTTAGCATTGCTTATTTAAAACAACTTATGTTTTTTAAAGTACTTATCAACGTATTTGGTGTTAAACTGGAGTCTTATAAAAAGTGTTTTGATTAGCTTATGATGGTATCAAAACATAATAAGTTGATAAGTTGTTTTTTTGTATTTAACAAATTTTGCTTATACATGTAAAATGATCACAAAAGACATTCTTCCATATTCTTCAACATGGGCATAATTGAAGAGATCATCGATGTACCCAAGGTGGTAGTGGGATGTTCTAGAAGTTAGAAAATAGTAGCATTTGCCGGAAAAATAGCAACTTAGTAATTCTGAAAAAGATGGGGATTATTAACACTATCAGAGAAAACAAACTGCCAACTTCCCTCCAAATCAAAATACAAGCCAACAAAGAGCAATTCTTTTTTATGTATGTGTTTGTTTGTATATAGGATCCCTCCTTAGATACACGAATAGGGGTGTTGACAATAAAAACAAATGACACAGGATATCGATTTATCACAGAGGAACAGACAAAAAAACCATATAATAATTATCACAGAGGAAATCGATTTATCACAGAGGAAATGGATTATGCAGGAAATCGATTTATGTAGAAGAAATCACAGCAAGACATCGATTTTTGTAGAAGAAATCACAGCAAGGAATCGCTTACCTGAGGAAGAAGGTCGAGTCGATGGTGGATGGAGGAGTCGATCTTCGATTCCTGTAGGAGGGGAACTGGTTTGATTTCTGTAGGAGGAATGGTCGAAGGTCGATTTGATGAACTGGTTGCTTTCGTGAGGAGTGAGGCGTATGATAATGAACCGATCGATTTGATGAGCTAGTCAACTAAAGTTAGTTTTAGGGTCAGAAAAGGATAAAAAAGTAATTTGATTTTTAAAATTGATAAGTTGTTTTTGACAAGTCATAAGAAGTAACTTATCAAAAACTATTTATTACCTATGTTAAATTGGTATAAGCATTCTTATTTTTTTTTCATCAAAATACTAAAAACTAATTATTAGTGATACCGTACCGAAATAAGTCAATAAACACTTTAAGTAAGTAATTCTAAACACCCATAAAATGGAAATTATTATTGATGTATTTCAAATTAATTTTTTTAATATAAATTAATTGAAATATCTGCTCTATTATTTTATGAATAAACTCTTGTACTTACCAGTCCTATATATATTCTGTCCCAACATAACACACTTTCACACTCTTTTTCCTCCTCCTCACCATGTCGAAGCAATCGTACAAATTCTGCTGCTGTTTCCGGCGACGTTTCAAGCTCGGCGAGGTCGAACCTCCGGCAGATATCAAGGAACTCTTCAGTCGCTACTCGGAGAACGGCATCATGACGGCGGAGCATTTGCAGCGGTTCATGGCGGAGGTACAAGGAGACGATGAAGTGACGACGGAGGAGGCGCAGGCCGCCGTGGATTCTACGATCAAAGAGCTGAAACACTTGCCGATCTTTCATCGGAGAGTTCTGAATCTCGATGCTTTCTTCCGGTATCTCTTCGGTGACTGTAATCCTCCTCTACCTTTTCCTTCTAAGGTATTTCCAGAATCCCTAATTTATGACTCCTGCATTCATATTTTTTGTGCGTTAAATCAAAGTCATTCATGTGTTAAAAAAAAGGAGAGGGTATGTTGATATATTTATTTAATAAATGATTGAGGTCATTTTTGTGCATTAAATTTAAAACTATAAATATGTGAATACATACTTAGAATTGTATACGTGTCATGTAACATGGTGTAAAATTCAATTTTATTGAAAAGATTAAGGCGTCGTTTACCAAACATTTATCCGGTAAGTGTTTATCGATTAAATTTAACATTATTATTTACTTACCGGGTAAGATTTTAGTCCACCAAAACGACATTATATACAACAATTTACCTGGTAAGTGTCATCGCCCTTGCTTACCGGGTAAGATTCATGATAATTGTCTAGCTTTTATCGGATAAGATTCTTGGTTCTTACCATATTCATTAGATGAGGTAACATGACTTGGTAAACGCTTACCCGAGTAAATGTCTGGTAAACGGCCCTAAGTGTGACACGAGGTTTTTAATAATCTTAAATATTTTTTATTTATTTGGTTGATTGATCTGGTGAAACATTTTTTAAAAACCTTCAATCTAACATTTAAAAAGTTGAAATTAAAAAGATTTTATATATACACATCAATAATTTAGATTTAATGTTTTATAAGTTATATTATTGAACTTTTTTGATATATTATAATTTGATATTAGATAAATAATGAAAATGATAGAAAAGTTTATTCAACAAGTATAAAAAAGAAATATTTGGTAGTTGTTGAATGATTAAAAAACTCTCATAATATAATGTAAAACGAAATATAATTGTTTGATAATTATTTATAACAAAATTAGAGTGCTAAATAGTTAAAAGAGATATATGATACAAAATTATTCATAAAATTTTAAAACTATTAAAAAACATATTTTTTTACCAAACAAAATTCAATTTTTAACGATTCAAATATTTACTCTTAACGGAAATCCCTAAACTTTATTCAGAATCATCCTTTGGTTAAAATCACCAAAATCTTATAAAAATATCTAGCTACGTCAGCATTAGATCAGTCCCAGTGGCAAAGTATGAACCGGGTTTATGAGTGACGTGGCATGTATGAACGGCATTACCTCCACTGACCTGTCTAATGTGGGCTCCACAGCTCCACTTACTTCTTAATGGTAATTTTGTTTATAAAATACTTAATTGATTAAAAAAGTATTCATTATGATGTTTTCTTATAAAAATAATATTTTTCTATTAAAGATCACAATAATTATATTTTTTTAATTTTATTTATGTGATGTTTTTTTTTGAAATACCGGGTTTTATTTCCAAAATATAATTGTATTATGAAACACAAAGCTTTCAAATATAATTAGATTTATTAATAATAATTCATACTTTTTTTTAATTATATTAGTTTAATAATAAACAGTCAAATAGTATATTTCAGATAAATACTTCTAATGTCGTGTACTCAAATTAAATATTAAGTAATATATATTGTCATTTAACTTGTAAAAATATAAGAAAATAAATAGAAAATTACATAATTTGACACTTGTAAACTATTTTTCCATAAAAAAGATGTATTAAAACACAAATCAATCTTATAAAATATGTTGTAATTTTAGAGTCAATTACAAATTTGGTTTCTATTGTTTCTCAAAGACAACATCTTTTTTTTCTTTTATCGATTTTTTGACTTTTACCGATCAAAATCAATCTTATGATTTTGGCCCCTATTGTTTTTGATTGGATAAAAGACGAAAACCCCCCGACAAAAGAACGAAAATGCTCTTCATTTAACAGAATTTTAACAAACGTTAAAAGAGAGGAATCAAATTTGAATGTTTTTACAAATCATAGTAACCAAATTTCTAGCTTAGGTGTCGTTTACCAAACGCTTACCCGGGTACACGCTTACCAAGTCACTTAATTTACTGGATGAATATGGCAAGGGCTAATAATCTTACCTGGTAAGAGCGAAAACAAAAATCGAGAGTCTTAGTCGGAAAGTGAGGATGAGGACTATTACCATGGTTAGCATTTACCAGGATAAATTATTGCATACAATGTGTTTTAGTGAATAAAATATTACCCAATAAGTAAGCGATGATGTTGAATTTTTACCGGTAAATGTTTACCGGGTAAGTGGTTAGGTAAACGGCCCTTTACTCTAATATTTATTAATTAATCCCTGCTATTGAATGTGTTTTGATTTACCTTTTCAGTAAAACCGAGCAAATAATTATTTGATTAAAAACTTACAAAAGTATATTAAATTTTTTCATATCAACTCAATACAAAGTTTAACACATACAAACAAAATGTATCATCTCCAATAAAATGATAAAATGCATTAAAAAGTAGGGACGAATACGAGTTAGATTGACTAGTTTAAAGACACTTACGTAATCTAAAATAAATAATCACAATTTAAACGCTTTCAAAGTTTTTAAAAACCATAAACCAACTGAAATCATAGCATGCAGTTTGGGATGGATTAGGTCAGGCAATGTAGGGTTGAATCTCTGCGTATTAACTAAAACCCATAATTTAAGATGTCACCTATCAGTCTGTTCTGAATAGACAATTGAACCCATACAATACTTTAATAGAAATAAATTTTTAAACAACCGCTAAGTTTGATGGATGGAGTTGGCATAAGTTTTCTTTAGTCCCGACTCAACTTCAACCAAATATTGTAGGTTGATACTATTTAGGTTGTGGGTCATGCCGGATCGGGTTTTATTGGGTTTTCAGGGTTTCTAGAGATATTTAAAATTATAAACCTAGATTTATGTATATATCTTATATTAAATAAAATAAAATAAAATGAAATGACACTATTTTCCCTGCATAAAATAAACAAACCTTTGGTCAGGCATATATATAACTTTGGAAGTGCAAAGGGGCAGAGAGGACTTGTAAAAATCAAGTGTTTTGTCTTCTTTTGCCATTCAAAGCCAACATAGTTGTTGGGAAAAATGATGCATTGTTCCCATATGTATTACTATTTGTTGATGGTTTATTATTTACAATAAAATATTATAAATAAAATGAAGGTTGCTTTTGTTATAATAATGTTTGAAAAGTTTCTATTTTATCCATTATTTCACATGATTATTGTTATTATTTTATATTCAATAAAAATTTATATAAGAAAAAAATTGTTTCCACCATTAGAATTAAAGTTAACTATTGACAACTCCAACTGACTCCAAATGATATCCACCTCCAATGAAACAAATGTAAAAATACATTTTTTGGTTCACCCGACAGCTAAGGTTAATGGAGGGTCATGATCGAACCTGAGACCTGTCTTATATTTTAAATAAAATCAGATCGTTCATTTATGAACCGAAGGATATTTTAATAATATAATTAATATTTTAATATATTAAAATTAAATATAATATAATCTTACTTTCAGACTTGAAGACAAATTTGGTTTTCTTTATCTTATGGTTGTGAAAGTGGACACAACTTTTTGTCCCATCGAATTTATGTGTGTCGACCCATGAATTGAATTTATTTATACACACGTTTTCTCATCTTTCACCGGTTCTTGTCGTGTTACACGCTACTTTATCCCTCTTTTTATCTTAATTGCTTTTGTTTTTTATTAATAAATCTATAATTTATAATATATATATATATATATATAATTAATTAATTTAAAACTCTTTTCAATTAATATATTGTATTATTTCATTTTTTTACCATCTATTTTGTATTAATTAATATATTATGCTATAAATATTGTAATTGCCTAATTTTTTAAAATGTTCCTTTTTGTCATTTTACAATTTCGATCTAATTTTTGTCAAATATGACTTGTTTATCAGCTAGTTTATTTATTAACAATTGATTTATCAATTATTAAGTAACTTATTAGATACTATAAAAACATAGCCAAATTATTACTGAAAATTTACTATTGAGATAATTTCTAGTTTTTTAATAATAATATTTTCTAATTAATTTATAAAATGCATCTCATGTGTATGGAATATGGATCTAACAAATTTACATGAGTACAATTTTTAAAAAAAGTATAATTCAATTGTCGTATTATTTTTTTTATTTGTCTTAAATTAAGTGTTTAGTTTCAAAAATAAAAGTTTATTTTTCTATTCTATCCTAATTACTTATGAAATGAAGAAATTTCTAGCTATAAGTGGGGGTAAAATTGTCCTTTTACAAATTTAAAAAAACGTAACAGATTACATTTCTAAAACTGTATGTATATTATTTGAGGTTGATTAGCTTAGCGAGTGCGAGTCGAACGACTTATTTGTTTATTTTTTCAAATAATTTTAAAGAACTATTTACAATGACTAAATTAAAAAAAAAAACACTATGTATCTGCTTTCCAACTTATTAGCCAATTTTTTTTTTCCTATTTATGGTTTTTATTTATTCAAATTAATTTGTGAACGTTTTCTACATATTTCATAAGACTTTTATGGACCGTTCTGTTGTTTATATAATAAAAAATCTATTATATAGTAATTAAAAATTACTTATTTTAATTTAAAAACAATAATTAAAATTTATGAACCGGTGTATAGTCTTAAGGATCTGTTTGGTAGTTGCTGAATGTTTTGATGTAGGATGATAAGTGGTCAGAATAATTAAGAGACTTTCATAATATAATGCAAATGAAATATATTTATTTGGTAATTATTTACAACGAAATTAGGACGCTGAATGGTTAAGAGAGACCCATGATACAAAATCATTCAGAGGGTTTTAGAATCATTAACAGACAGATTTTTTTTGTCAAACAAGATTCACCTCTTAACGATTCAGATACTGCCTCCTAATGAAACTATTAAGAGATAAACAAACAACTTATGTATTTTTTAGTTTATAATTATTATAGTAAAAAAGTTAATTTATTTTATAACTAAATAAATTAAAATCGAATGAAGTAGCAGTTCATCTGTATGGACCTATCACATGTCATGGACCAGTTTAACCCAATAAATATGATAAAGTGGTCCATGGACTTGAAATTGGCCAATGCTGTCGCTGTGGTAGCTCTAGTATACGTTATCCAATTACGTTATTATAAGGATACTCGCATAATGTAATGAAATATATTTTGATTTTTATATTTTTTTTATTCTTTATTCATATCGATATAATACGGTTTTACTTAGTTTTGAGAAAACAATAATATTTTTATTTTTAAATAAAATATAAATTTTAAATTTCATAAAATTTCCAAAAGTTATATCGATATTAGTATCAAATTAACAAATTAATGTTTTTAATTCAGTTTTTTATTATAATTTAATTTATATTTTAATAATGAAGTAATTTAATTTTGATTTAATAATATAATTCTTTGTAAAAATAATAAGTAACTATTCTGTTAGAAGTCGATTATTTTAATTATATTTTATAGTTTTTATATTTAAAATGAGATGTTTATCTACAGTTAGTTACACGAATTCGAAAATGGAACTTTAATAAGTTGTATTTATATACAATTTACTTGTAATTTTGAATTTTAAGTAATATACATTAATTAACAGTACTTCATACATGAAAAATGATTTTTAAGAGTTTTTATCAAATATTTTATAATATAATATATATATAAACTATTTTAAGCTACATAACCAACAACTAAAAATTATGAATCAACTTGTTTCCAAAACATAACCTAAACTTATATCTATCATTTAACCACTCTTAAATAAATTTATATCAAAAAATAAAAGTAAACTACAAATTTTGTCCCTCAAGTTTGTTGAAAATAACATTTTTCATCGCTATAATTTCGAAATTACGACAAAATCATTATGATTTGTAATAACATCCGGATTTGGTCATTTCTTCTAACGACTGCTAAATTTTTGTTAAATGAGGGCCATTTTCATTGCCTTTTTTTATACAATCCAAATCGATTTTATGAACGAAAATGCTTCTCATTTGATGAATTCTTACAGAAAGGAACACGACGATGGCTTCAAGATAACGAAAACACAAAAACCAAATTTATTGTTTATTCTAAAAATAATAATAACACATGGTTTTGTTTTTTTCTAAAAAAAGGAATGGTTTATATGATATAACAAACCATTTCTTAACGTGTTAGGGAGTCGTTATCACAATAAATCCTTGCAAGCACCACAACTGAAAGTGACATTTATTTAATAGCAAAATATTAATTATTAAATAGCTTTTACTATAAATATTTTAATTTTAAAAAATAAAAAATTTATTTGATTTACTATTTATAATTATGATTATGATTATTTAAGAATAGGAATTAGCCTCAATGCTGAAATAATGTGGAGGTCATAGGGGCAAAACCGACCATTTTTTAACAATAAAAAATGTAATTTAAATTTACCCTTTTTTCTATTCATGAATATGATGTATTTATATATTTATTCATGACCTCATGCATTTTTATAAGAGTAAATTGTATTTTTGGTCCTTATAGTCTGTTATTTTCTAGATCGTGTCCCTACAAAATATATATATATATATATATATATATATATATATATATATAAAGAGAAACGAAATAGAATGACTTGGTACTATGAGATCAAATCTTGAAATATGGTTAAATTTGTTTATCCAACATTGGTGGAAAGAAAAAAAGATTAAGGAATAAAATGTGTATATATATAAAAAGAGAAGGTGATTTTTTTGTTACAAGACTCACGCTGGTTTTTATTATAAGAAAACTGTTATGATATGCATTTTGGTTGGGTTTTTGCATACCACAGGTTTTTTTGCAATATTTCTTTTTTGTTTGTAAAAACTCAATTCAAGAAAAACAACAAAACAAAAAATGCAATTTACACTTTTATTATTTGAAAACATGATCTCATATACTCTTATCATGAATATCATATATTTTTCTAATGAGTATCTATCGATTCATCATGAATAGATTTCACTCTTCAATGTTATTCATTATGAATATGTTTCATTATTTGAGGGTTATTCATTATAAATAGTATATAAAATAGTAACAGGTTTCTTAATTCACAAAATGTTTATGGTTTTCATCGGAACCCACCAACATTTTATAAAAATGGGGATAAAATTTGATGGAAAATTGGTATTAACAGGTGATGCATGATATGGAGGCTCCATTGGCACATTACTACATATACACAGGCCATAATTCATATCTAACTGGGAACCAAATAAGCAGTGATTGTAGCGATGTGCCCATCATTGAATCCCTTAAGAGAGGTGTTCGTGTTATTGAACTTGATATGTGGCCTAATTCCACCAAGGATGATATCGATATCGTCCACGGAGGGTAACTAATCATTATCACCGTTACTGTTTTTCGTTATTTATTTATATATTTTATCTGTGTACAAAATTGATAGCTCTTAAACGTATTATTCCATTACAACAAAATCAGGTTCATAGGACACTCTCAAATTCTAAGTGTCCTAATACCTTTTTATAAAACTTAGTTTATAGGACAAAAAAAATAAAAATAAAGTGTCATATCTAAAGGTGTTGTAATAAGTTTATATGTCGTTTTTTGACGTCGTAATAAGTTTTTTATGACACTTTTAATATAAAGTGTCCAATTATCAACTTTATAGGACACTATTTGAAAAATTGTCCTATAAAAACAAGTGTCCTATAAAAAAATGAGTTTATAGGACACTTTTGAGAAGTTGCTAATCCGACACTTTGTATTAAAAATGTTCTAAAAAACTTGTTAAAATGCCCAAAAGCGTCATATAAACTTATTACAACACCTTTAGATAAGACATTTTATTTTTTTGTTCCTATAAACTAACTCCTATAAAGAGGTCTATTAGGACACTTAGAATTTGAGAGTGTCCTATAAACACGATTTTGTTGTAGTGTTCCGTTTCAATAAGCACCAAGATTTGTTTTCACCGACATAACCCATTACAAGAAAATCGGGTTTATATGATGTTTAAAGGACCGTTTGCCACGCTTATCAGGTAAGAGTCACTCACGCTTACACCACAACGAAATTGACTTTATTGGACATCTAGATTGCCAAATACTTTATATAAACTTAGGTTTATAGGACCAAACTATAAAACCTTATATCCAAAAGTGTTATAATAGGTTTATAAGACGCTTTTAAGACATTTTAATAAGTTTTTTAGGAGGCTTACAAAATATAGTGTCATATTAGCTATTTTATAGGACATTTTTGAAAAATAAGTTACATACACATCTTTTATTGTAGGACACTTTTGAGAAATGTCTTATATGCACATCTTTTATTGTAGGACACTTGTGTTTATAGAACACTTTTTTTAAATGGTGTTGCATAAAATAGTTAATATGACATTTTATATCAAAATCGTCGTAAAAATCTTATTGAACCACCTAAAATCATCATAAGAACCCATTTGTTACACTTTTAGATAGCACGTTTTTTGGTTTGGTCTTGTAAAATATTTTTTAGGATGCTTCTACATTTTAGACACCCTATAAAATCAATTTTGTCGTAGTGTTACTTACCTTACCAGGTAAGATTCTTGGCCATCAAAACAACATGGTAAGATTGTAGGTAAGTGCCTCATACCCAATAAGTCCTAACCGGTAAAGATCCTCGGTCCTCCTCATGCTCACATGGTAACATAAATGCTTACTTCGTTAGCATTTGGTAAACATCCCTAAACCCTAAGTGTCATAATAGACTACCTTATAGGACTAAAATTTATAAGATCAAACAATTGTGTTTTATGTAAAAGTGTTACAATAGGTTTATATAACGTTTTTGGACGTATTAACAAGTTTTTGAGAACATTTTTTTAAATAAAGAGTCATATTATTTTCTTATAAGACAGTTTGGAAAAAAATCTCATATATATGAACACGTTTTTGATAGTATACTTGTATTTATAAGACACATTTTCGAATAATGTCACGTACAAAAGTAATAGGACATTTTATTTTAAAAAAATGTTCTAAAAAACTTGTTAGGACGTCCAAAAACGTCCTGTAAATTTATTGCAACACATTTACATAGGACTTACATTTGTTTGATCATATAAACGTAAGTTCTAAAAGGAATCTATTAGGATACAACCCTTTTGGCATCTTGTAAACCCGATTTTGTTGTAGTTATCACTCTACTTTTTAAGACAGAGGTCAGATTAACGTATATCTTACCCTTTAGACCCCATCTCCGGATGGTATATACTGAAAACGTTTGATTTGCTTTCAGTAAGGGCTAGGATTTTCGTTGTTGTTTGAATCCAACTTAATTAAGATCGGTTCTATAAAATGTAGTACATTGACGGCACCCGTCAAATTGGACAAGTGCTTAGAAGCCATTAGAACGTATGCGTTTGTCGCATCCGAATATCCCGTCATCATTACTCTCGAAGATCACCTCACTCCTGCTCTTCAAGCCAAAGTTGCAAAGGTAATTTGATTTCAAGCTGTCTAGCTATATTATGTTTTAAGACACGATTGAAATGCATGTTTTAAAGCGCAATTTGAAAAACCACTAACCAAATCTTTCGAAAACCTCTTTGATCTTGATTTTTTATGCTAACGGTGCACAGGTAACGAGAAATGATAGCATATTAAGAGCATCTCCAACAAAATCTCTGTAATAGAGAAAATGGAGATTTTGTTCGCTATTTGCTCTAACAGACTCTCTGTATTGTTCTCTAAAACTGAGAAACAAGAGAAAAACTCCAAACTTAGACAATTAGTGATTAAATCTGTAGAACAGAGAAATCTGTTGGAGTTACACCGTAATTCTTTTTAGGATTTTTTAACTTTTTTTTTGATTAACCTGGATGGATACCCAACCCGCTATACGAGCCGACTAATCCCAGGGCGACCACCTGCTTTGCAGATAGCCCGGAGTCATCGCATTTGAACCTCTGTGGCCACAAGAAGATTTTTATTCCTCCTTGGATTTGAACCTGAGACCTCCTGTACTTTTGACCTTTGGAGCCAAGCTCAAACCAATCAGGCACCACCCCTTGTGGTTGATTTTTTTTTTAGAAACTTTTTTGTGCTCTATTTTAGAAAAATTATAAAGAATGCTTAAAATAGCACATGCTTAAAGATTTGATCGACATTTTCCAATTGTCATATTGATTTTTTATACGACACTTTTGAAAAGTTGGACGTCCTAAACAACCCATTTTGTTTGCGTTTAACGAGTTATATCATGCAATAACCCTATATGGTTCCTTTAGATGGTCATGGAAACATATGGAGATGTTCTATATTGTTCGGAATCAGACAGCCTGACAGAATTTCCGTCCCCGGAATTACTTAAGAAACGGATTGTGGTCTCAACGAAACCACCTAAGGAGTTTCTCGACACGACCAAGAGCATGAAAGAAAGCGATGTGAAAACGAAGACCTCCGGAGAGGATGCATGGGGTGCAGAAATATCAACCCATTTCAAGAAACAAAAAAGCGTAGATGAGGTTGGAAAAAACATGTTTAAAAGACCATTTGGATGCTGGTGACTTGTTGTATTTTTGTTTTTTCACCTCTTTTTAAAATCAAAATAGCCATAAAATCATTAAGTAGCCACATCTTTTTAAGGTGATCAAGAAATAGTCATTAATGAGTTTAGCAAATTTGTGGAATGGTGGGACCTCTTGACTGGGTTAGTCCCACCATCAAGAGGTCCCACCATCTCGTTTGCAGAATGAATGACTATTTCTTGATAAAACTCAAAAAGTTGGTTATTTCATGAATGTTTTTGACATAAATCCGTGTTTTTTTGTTATAAGTTATGGGAACTTTCTAACATGAGAATCAACAATTTACAAGAAATTGGTTTGGAAAACATGATGTTTACGCTCAGGATGATCAAGATTTTCAATATGAGGAAGAGACGGTAAAACATAATGTTGAGCCCGAGTATAAGCAACTGATCGCGATTCACGCAAAGAAACTAAAAGGAGGAGTCAAAGACTGGCTACATGACGATCCCACAGCGGCTAAACGGATTAGCCTGAGGGAAACACGACTAGAAAAAGCCATTGAGAATCATGCAACGGATGTAATCAGGTAAAAAAATAATATATATAGAGGCATAATCAAATGAGAACCATCACTACTAAAAAATCGGGTTTTTCCGACGGCAAAATCCGTCGGAAAAACAACTTTCCGACGGATTTCCGACGGATTTTGCCGTCGGAAAAACCCCCGCCGCTAAATGCCTTTTCCGACGGAATTTCCGACGGATTTGTATTTTCCGACGGATATTTCCGTCGGTTATACCCTTTTTTTTAGTAGTGCATATAATATATATATATATATATATATATATATATATATATATATATATATATATATATATATATATACCAATCTTAACAATTTGGAGATTTGAATAATTCGTTATTTGAATTTGTCTTATCATATATCAAGTTTCAACCGCAACGCTCAAGGGTTAGGTTGGGTTGAGATTTTTCAAAATGTCAATCATAAAGTTGGGTTGTTCAAATGCTTTCAAACCGACCAACCTGATCCGTGTTCATCCCTAATTATGTGGCTGAATGTTGGTTTCTTGAAGGTTTACTCAAAGGAACTTGTTGAGGGTTTTTCCAAAAGGCTCACGAGTTGACTCATCAAACTACAATCCGTTAATCGGTTGGACTCATGGGGCTCAAATGGTTGCATTTAACATGCAGGTGTGTTCGGTTTTGGCTCTTTTTTCCAAGTGGTCGAATGTGATGTAAAGTAAAAATCTAACCTTTTTTTCGTGACCGCAGGGCCATGGGAGGTCTCTGTGGTTGATGCAAGGAATGTTCCGAGCCAACGGAGGCTGCGGGTATGTGAAAAAACCCGATTTTTTACTTAAAAACGGGCCTGACGGCAAGCTATTCGATCCTAAATCTACACTTCCTGTTAAAAGGACTCTCAAGGTAACAAGAAACTTTTAGCCCTTCTTTTTTTTCATTGACATGAGCAAAGAAACACAATCTACCACAACAAAATAGGTCTTTTAGCGGATGTTTGGGATTGCTTATTTGAAACAACTTATGCTTTTCTACAAAAACATTTATCAACTTATTACAAGTCAGAAGAGTTTTAGTTCTTCAAAAACTCTTTATTACCGGTTTGACACATATATAAGTTGTTTATCCAAACACTCAAAAGTGTTTATTACTGGTGCCACACCGGAATGAGTCAATAAATTGTTTTTATAAGCAATCACAACGTATTGTAAAAAAGCTAATAGAATGATTTACTTTTAGGTCCTATTAGATCGATCAACTTCATCGATATAACTTGTTGGGTCATATAACAATTTATTATAACGTCTTTCAATAGAATGATCACTTCTTGATCCCATCAACTTTAAATCTAATTAAGTACTCTTAGAAAGGATACGTGATCCTTCCAAATCTCTTAACGATAATAAGTGTCCATATTTCTACTTTAATTTGTTCATAATACTGTATTTTGTACACTTTAACAGTAAGTGTCTAATTTCCAATATTACGGAAATATGGTTTTGCAGGTGAAATTATATATGGGAGATGGGTGGCATTTGGATTTCAAAACAACACATTTCGACATTTATTCACCACCAGATTTCTATGTCAAGGTTGACTTAACATTCCCATCTTCCAATCTCAGTTTGACTTTTTCAATTTTTGACTTTTTGAGACTGATAAAAGTCAGACATTTCATTCAGATTGGAATTGCTGGAGTTGAAGCTGATTCAGTGATGAAAAAAACCAAGATCATACAAGACGCTTGGGCACCGAAATGGGAAGAAGAATTCGAGTTCCCGTTGACGGTTCCCGAGCTTGCATTACTTCGACTTGAGGTCCACGAATACGATATGACGGAGAAGGATGATTTCGGCGGACAAACTTGCCTTCCGGTATCGGAATTACGGACTGGGATTCGATGTGTACGGCTTCATGATCAAGTGGGTAATATATATAACTCGGTCAAACTGCTTTTGCGCTTTGAATTTGTGTAAGTTGTGATTATGTTGGGTATGCTTTTATTATGCGGTTTTGTGGATGTTATATTTATATACATATATGAAACAGAAAACACTTGTATCTTCAAGGTCCAGGATGATGACATCATTGTTATTTGTTAGAATTAGTCAAATGTATCGAGTCAAACTTAGGGTGTTAATAATGATAGGCATGGAATGGGCGAGGATGGGGCGTGGATCTTAATTCATACCCTGTCCCTGATTATTTATCTCTATCTTCTTTTCCGTCATTGAGAAATATAATCGCACCTCCATCTCCATCCCGAATGGAGATCTCCAATGGGGAAACGAATTTTTTTTACGTTTATGTAAGTTTTTTAAATTAAATATGTGAGAAACCATACATGTTTAAATCTCAAACATTTTCAATAAAACTAAAACCAAAATAAATTTAATTTAATACAAAAAAACCACAACATCATATAAGAATTAATAACCTTAAAAAAATAATTTAATTAAAAAAAAACTTAAATTCTAATGTACCAAAAGATATTAAGTAATATAAAACCATATCGAGTAATATACAAAACTTCTCGAGTCATTGTAGTTTAACTTACATCCAAAATATTACATATTAACATTCAAAATGTTACATATCAACATCCAAAAAATAACAATTTTAGATTATAAACCTAGTTAGGAAAAAGAAAATTATGAATCACCGCTTTAGTTGAAATAAATAATATATATATACATATATATATATATGTGTGTGTATAAATATATATAATTTATTAATTAATATATATAATGGGTACGAGGTGGGAAGTACGATACCTGTCCCCGTCCCTGTCCCCATCCCCGATTTGAGACAAACGGGGATCCCTGTCCCCGACCGGGGCGGGTGGACCGGGTTCCCCAACGGGTCGAGGCCCATTACCATGCCTAGTTAATGATTTGAGTTTTTAACAATCCTGAACATAAATTAAAATAAAGCTCGTTCAATTAAGGACCGGGGCTCAATAAATAAAGCTCGTTTGAGCCCATAAACGGGCATTGAGCTCGAAGTGAGAAAAATATTCAAGTTCGAGCACTATTTTGAAAAAGTTATTTGAGCTCGAGTTTGATATTATTTTCTCGAATAGAATAATGAGTTCCATTGATTACTTTCCAAAAGAGCCCCTGAGAAGAAAACACAGGTTCAGTCATATATCAAGGAAAAATGGTTCAAGTCTAGCCAGTGTAATAGGCCAAGTTGTCCCAGAGTTTAAAGGGGCTTAGACGAGTATAGATTGCCGCATAGTGGTAGACATTGGCTCTGATATCATATGAGAATATGTGAAAACCCTTTTTATTACTATCCAAAAGAATCCTTTAAGGAGAGGAGACATTGTAACATATATTGATAAAAAAATGGTCAAAGTCTACCTGATTTGAGACTCAAATACAAACAACCTGCTACTCTACTCTACATAGATTAACTCGGTTTGTATATATACAAGTTTAGTGGACCGTGTTTAGCTGATATAAGACTTCAACCCGTCCCTGAAACGGTATCTACATGGTGCCTCCAAGAAAGAAGGTGAAATAGTTTGTTAAGTCACAACATGGTGCTAGACACCGGCTCTAATACCAATACCATGTTAAAATATATGAAACCCTTTTAATTGAATCTCCATAAACAATCCATTACGAAGAGATGAGGTTCCTGCATGCATATATACAGGTTTGATGGACTGTGTCTAGTCGACGTGAGACTCCAACAATGGTATACGGATCATAGGATTTGTACATGAAATAACTTGCAAAAATGCTGCTAAAATTGAAAGAAACAAATCAATAGATTCATGGGTGTTTTGAGATTTTTAATGCTTAAAGTCAACACATCAATTACTCGTATTCTTCCCCACAGCCTGTAACAAAATCAGGAGCTTGAGGAAGTAGTAAGATGCACCTCCAATGGTGGCATATTGCAACTTCTCCGGGCCCTCGACGTCCGCAAAATCTCCGTCAACGGCTCGATTGAATCCCCCCGCCAACCATCCCAAGTTTGTATACCCGTTTTTATGTAGCTTCGACATCGCCATCATCGATCTACAAAAGTATTGCAGGAAGATGTTATAGAACTTAGAGGCTGTTTACTTGCGGCTTAATTAGACTTATTGGTCTATTAGCTTATTCGCACATCTCATTAATCTTACATGGTAAAGTAAATTATAGATAAAAAAGTTGATTAATGATATTACCTTAAACCTTCTCCACAAGCAACAAGAATCTTGGTGGTCTTATCAGGAACCATCTTCTCCACTTGATCAATAAAATTAGGGTTCATCATCGTAAAATATTGTCCGGTCCATAAACCAATATAACCAAAATGAACCCATTTCTTCAAAAGGGTTAAGGGGCCATTATCCATATCTTGGATGAACAGTGGCACGTGCATTGACCCTGTGACACGTGACTTCTCTCTCTCCCATTCTGGCCTGATGTCCAGGAGTTTGTATCCTTGGTCGTCGTTGATGGCTGCGGCTGCGTCTTTTGGGTGGATGGCGATCACCGTGCCGGACTGTATTAGCTTTACTGGGTTGCCGGAGACTGCATGGACCTTCACGGTGGTGGCGGTGCGGTGGTGAGGATAGGCGGAGAACGGTGGTTGTTTCAAAGAGAATGAGTGAACATGGTTTACCTGGATTTCCATCTATCTTAATATCTTATCTCTCTCTCTCTCTGGACCAACAATCTTATTTTAGATGACCAAATCGTCCATTTTTCACTTTTAAATTAAAAGGGGTAACAAAATAAAAATGTAATTTTGATTTGTGATTGAAATATATAAAATATTCCTATTAATCAAACTTTAAGTAAAAAAAATGGAAATCAGTAAATTATCCTTTTGTCATCTCTAGTTTATCCAAGATTTTCCTTCGTGATGGTATTTTTTTTTTAATACGGTTGCAAATTTACCATGTTACATTACTAGAAAATTAGGTATTTTCGGTAGAAAAATTCATCGAAAATTTATCGGCGGATTTCCGACGAACGACAAAAAAATCAACTTACGTTAACTTCCGCCGGTAAATATTTTCCGACACTATTTTCGGCGGATTTTACAAATTATTTTTACGAAATAATTAACTCTAATTATAATGATGATGATGATGATTTTTTTAAAAACGGCGGAATACCTGCAGAAATATCCGTTAGAAAATAAAAAAAATTCAATTTTTTAGGAAAAACGGTTATTTTTTAAAAAAATTAAAATTTTTTCGGCTCCGCCATTTTCTATAAAACAAAACCCTACTTCCTCACCAGCCGTTGTTTCTGTTTTACATACCACACGAAGCAGACGAAAGAAATCGATTTCCAGCCGATGAACAAAGCAAATTCGATCGTGATTTCAAGCAGACTCGCCGACGATCTGTTTTCCAGCAGACCCCCTGTCGATCGCGACCTTCCTCTTTCGCCCGTATGAACTCGATTTTTTGTATGTATGTGTATATTTCTGTTATGTATGTATATTTATGTTTGTATGTATACTATGTATGTATATATTTTTGTATGTATGTATAATATGTATATAGACTTGGGATCATGTGAGACCAATGATTTTTCGTGAGACCCATAAGACCAATTCTTAACCCTTGGATTAGATCTACAATCTGAAAATCTAAACATTCATAAACGCCACGAGAATTCTCAATAATCACAAAATTGCCACCGTGCAATTTAGATCATTAGATCATTAACTTATAAAGTTGATCAATGAAAATAAATTGGTCTTACGGGTCTCACAAAAAACCATTGGTCTTACGTGAACCCAACCCTATGTATATATATATTTTCTGTATGTATGTATAATATGTATGTATATATTTATGTAATTTTTTATAATAGTAAAATATGATGTGTGATTTGGTTATTTATATATCAATACACAATAGGAAGATGTTGATTATCGATGTGGCATGTAGTATTCTTAAATCTTTATGTGTAGAATCTTGCTTTATTTGGGAAGTTATGGGTAGAGTTGGGTTATGAATCTAAATTTAAAAATATTGAATTGAGTATCATTTATTTGTTGAAAGATGATTAAAAAATCTATTTTTTTTAATTTTATCGTGAGTGGAAGTCAATTATGGTTATGGGTATGAGGATGGAGATGGGGATGCGGATGGTAGCATGTATGGATGCATTTATTATGTTTTAACACAACATTATTTGAGTATTATTCTTGCGTTAAGAATTATTCATAACATAATGCAAATCATTGATTTTGAGTAGATATATTTTAGTTGATATAAATGTTACAATCAATGTGTTAAAACTGGGTTATCAATTGTTGGTCAAACGTTAGGACTTTTATCAATTTCGTAAATTTGTAGCTATGTCGACTGATACCGATAGAGGAGGGATGTATAAACGAATAAATAGAAACGAAACTATAAATCCAGTTTTCCAAGTCGAAATAGTTGGATTTTTGAATTTTGCCTTCTCTAATGAGCGATCTATGATAAGATGTCCTTGTAGGAAATGTCAACTTCTAAAGTTTAAAAATAGAGACGAGATTCATATAGACTTGTTAATAAAATGATTCATGATCAATTATAGTCACTGATAAATACACGGTGAATTAGAACCCGAACTTCAACAACCACAACAAACAATAGTGGACGAAGATTATAGTGAGTTTGATGGTGTTGAACAAATGGTGATGGATCAAAACGTTCCCGGTACATCAAGTATGTGGGACGAGCAAGAACCAAATAAACATGCACAACGTTTCTATGATATGTTACGAGTCGCGGACGAGCTGTTGTGGGAGGAATGCTAGAGATTTTCAAAGTTATAAGCAGCAACAAGGTTTTTGAATTGGAAGGTAGATTGCAATGTACCAAAAACAACCTATAATCATAACCTTTCTATGGTAAAAGAAATGCTACCTGACGGTGAACAACTAGTTGGTAGCTTTTACGAGACAAAGAAGGTGTTGAAGGAGCTTGGTCTTTCGAAAGAAAAGATATATGCTTACAAGAATCATTGCATGTTATTCTATAAGGAATATGCTGATGATAACAGTTGTCGAGTATGTGGGAAGTCTCGTTACAAGACAATCGACCGAAACAATAAGGTGCCTAATTTGGTGTTGATGTATTTTCCAGTTACACCAAGATTACAACGGTGGTATTTGTGTAAGAAAATAGCAAAAGAGATGACTTGGCACCATGATCATCAAGCCGAGACAGGAAAGATGGTACATCCAAGTGATGGGGAGGCTTGGAAACATTTTGACAGGACACATCTCGATTTTGCTCAAGAGATTGGGAATGTTTGTTTAGTCTTATATATAGATGGTTTCAACCCTAATAACTTGAACTCAAATCCGTACTTATTATGGCCAGTTTTTCTAACAAACTACAATCTACCATCTTGGATGTGCATCAAAGACTGGAATGTCTACCTACTTTGTTGATTCCTGGAAAAAAGAGCTTTAGACAAAACTTGGATGTGTTTTTTCGGCCCTTGATCGACGAGTTGAAGACGTTATTCTTTGACTGTTTCGTTACCTATGATGCTTATCGACGGGCGAATTTCACAATGAGGGTCGTACTGTTGTGGACGGTTAGTGACTTCCATGTTTATGCCATGCTGTCTGGTTGGAGCATGCATGACAAGTTAGCTTGCCCATATTGCATGGGTAATGTATGTGTCTTCCAGTTGCGAAGCAAATGGAAGTCGTGTTGGTTTGACTGTCACCGTAAATTTCTGCCATTGAGGCACTCGTTCAGGCATGATAGGAACCAATTTCATGTTGGACATGTCGAAAAAGCGGATCCACCCCCTTTGCTAACTAGGGAGAAAATATGAGCACAAGTTTGTAGCCTTCCTACGGTCTATGAATGAGTCCCACACGGATCAAGGCAATATAGGAAGCCTGTGGTTTTGGGGTAACCTCCAATTGAGTAAAGAAAAGCATTTTCTGGGAGCTTCCATATTGTTGATCCGACACAACCTAGATGTAATGCACATTGAAAAGAATGTGTTTGACAATCTCTTTCACACCATCATGGACATCCCAAAATCAAAGGACATCACAAAAGCAAGAAAAGACATTGAAGAATACTACAATCGACCATAGTTGCATGTAAAGGAGGAAGAAATAAAATCTTTAAAACCAAAAGCTTCCTACACATTGAACAAAGAACATGTGGAAAGGTGTGTGACTGGTTGAGGAATCTTAAATTCCTAGACGACTATGCTTCTAACATAGGTACATTAGTAAACATTGAAGATGGTAGTTTCTATGGCTTCAAAAGTCATGATTGTCACGTGTTCATACAAAGACTGCTCCCTCTTTCTATAAAATGGATGGTACTGGCTCCGATATGGGATGCTATCACTGAGCTGTGCACATTCTTTCATGCAATATGCTCAAAGGTGTTACACGTTGACGACTTGCTTCAATTGCAGACAAGTATAGTGGAAACTATCTGCAAGTTGGAAAGAGTCTTCCCACCGGGATTCTTTGATTCCATGGAACACCTTGTGGTACATTTGGCACATGAAACCATAGTTGGAGGTCCGGTTCAATATCGATGGATGTATCTCTATGAGAGACGTCTAGGGTCGTTGAAAAGGACAGTGAGAAACAGATAAAGGGTAGAAGGGTTAATTGTAGAAACATATTTGGTTAATGAACGATCTACCTACTACTCGTATTTTGGAACAATGGTAGAGACACGGCTAAACCGTGAGTCTCGACAAACGTAGAAGCGATCACTTTGCTGGATGGTTTTATACCCACGTAAGTGTACAAATATTAACTATTATTCATCAATATTTATATGTACTTAATAAAATATCACAAATGGAATGATTATAGGTTATGTCTCGGTCGAACTCTGCTTCAGATCTTGTTAGGATTTTGGCATACAAACCGATACGTAAGGTTTGGAGACATCTGAGGTTATTTGTAAACGGTTACAAGTTCCACATGCTAGCTCACGGTAGAAATCACACCAAACATAATAGTGGACTATACGTGAGAGAGTCTTGTTACTCGGATTACGAGGCCCACTAATATGGATTGTTGGATAAAGTCCTAGATATAAAATATCATGGGTATGAATTCTGCCGCTGTGTTGTCCCAATATTCAGATGCACATGGTTTGATACAGTAACTGCATCCTATTTGACCCAAAACATAATCTCGTGGACATCAAACACATATCAAGATTTCGTTCAGACGACCTGTTCATCCTAGTATCACAAGTTGAACAAGTTTATTTTGTACCATATCCATTGAATTCATTAAAAGCTCGGTCTTCTATGGTGAAGACAAATCCAAGAGAGGGTCCATGACTTAGCATTGAGTACCCTTGAAGTACCGTCGGATGAAAATATGGACGAGGAACAGTTTTTCTAGGAAAATGATAGAATAACCCAAGTTGGGGGGAAATGAAGTTGTGCAAGAACCCATCCATCTTGTCATAGGTCAAGACAACATTGAAGTTGCTAATGATCATCTCGACAACTGATATGTTGATGAGAGTAGTGACGAAGAAGAGGAGTTCCAAGACTCGGATAATGACTATGACGATGAAGAACTTAACCTGTCTGATCACTCCTTAGATGATTAAATACTATGTTAATTTTAGTGTTAGTAAATTTTGTATAGTAGTTTTAAATCTTTATTGTTTTCATTTTTTTTTAATTTTAGTGAACTACTG